CCACTTATACATGGAAGGTTTTCAATAAACATACTGGAAAAATGTTTGCAGATTTTCTTACTACTACTGAAGCAATCATATCAATTACACTAGACTACCAAAAAGCAATCATATTGCTGCTTCTTGGTTATCAATGCAAGGATCATTAAACCTGTAAATAAACATGAATTTCTTTTTCACAATACCTTTTCACTTTTGATGTCTATTGTTAGTTATACATATAACATTTACAGTGTTTTGCATTATAATGACAATATTGATACAGATACTGACAGATACTTTATCTTGTGAACAGATGTTATAAATTTATGGTATTGATAAATACAGTAAAGTACTCTAAATGTATTTGCTCTTCCTTATGATTTTCTTAATATATTAATAACATTTCTCCTAGCTTACTTTATGGTAAGAATAAAGTATATAATACATATAACATACAAAATATGTGTGAATTGACTATGTTATGGTAAGGCTTCTGGTCAACAGTAGGCCATTAGTAGGTAAGTTTTGGGGAAGTCTAAAGTTATGTGTGATATTCAACTTCATGGTGGGAATCAGTGTCCCTAACTCGATGTTGTTCAAGGTCCACTGTATTTGCCTTTCGTGCTTTTAATATTGTAGCCACTCAATATTTAATATTATATTGATGATCCACTCATGACTAGGTAAGAAAAAGAGACTTAAAAATCAATGATTTGGGTCCTATTTGGTGCTACTTCATTGTTTCTTCTTGGAGTTCATTTGGTTGCCTCTTAAGTCCTTGCTTTTTAATAGGAAAATAAATGCATATGAAAAAAATATCTTTCACCACACATAATTAGTCCAACACCACCATTATTAATTCTCATGCCTGCTTCTCTAATCATAACTTATTCTTCTACCAGATCACTTTTCACCTATTCCTACTCTGATTGTTCCCTGATCACATGGGATCCTTTCTTCCCACTATGCAGTTGGTGTTACCTTTTTGAAACAAATTCTATGTTACCTTCCTGTTTGTGATAATTTAGTGATCTTCTCCATTGCTCTTAGGGTAAAACAAAGCTCCTAACCTGATATACAAAGGGATCATCACCTTATTCCTCTCCATGTTTCTAGTTCATACTGCTTTTTACTCCAACTCCTTCTCTCTGCTATAACCACGTTGGCCTTGTTTGCAACCCTTTATGTTTGCCATGCTGCCTCCAGCCAATAGCCCTACACACATGAAGTTCCTTCCACCAGGAATGTTCTTCCTGTCCTTCCTCACTTAGTTAAACCTATTCCTCCTTCTGATCTTAGCTCAACTGCCACTTCCTCAGTCCTAACTAGGTACCATTGTCCTAACTAGGTACCATCCCATGTTGCAAAGACTCTTAGTTCCATTCTCCTGTGTTGCATGCATAGTTGCAATTTCATATAAAATCATATAACTATTTAACTGACATCCTATTTTGTCGAGGAAAACATATGTTCTGCTATAGCAAGGCCCTTCTCTACATGTACTCACCACTGAATCTTCAGCCCACTCTTAGGTAGGTACTCTGTAAATACTGCTTGATTGAGAACACAATAAAGTTCCTTGAGAATTTTCAAGATGAAGACATTATAAGGCATTTCCTACAAGACACACAATGCAATGTATTCATCCAAAACATAGTTGTAACTAGAGATTTTCCATGGAGTGAAGTCATTCTTCATGTCTATTAGTTTTCAGTCTTGCAACCCAAACATAGGAGATTTGATGATGAATGTGAATGGGATACTTTAACAGAATTTGCTCTCAGAATATTCATTGTAAAATAATGCAACTGCTTTTCTTTAATATAATTTCCTTGCTGTTCATTAGTATTAACATGAATATTGCATTCAAATACAGATAATTCAATATATCTATGCCACTTTTGTATATCTCTATTTTCCATCATTTCATTACTATGGGTACTAGCAAATATTGCATTTTCTATATTATAAGATACCAATAACTCTAAAATATGTACAATTTCATAGGAATAAATATGGAAAGCTGACCCTGATATCAAGTTCATTTAAACCAATAAATATTCTATTTTTTATAGATGAAATTATTTTAAAATTCTGGATGAGTAATCCCAATGCAAAATGACTTGCATCTTTAGAAGACTGCTCATGTAAAACAGTAATGAGCAATGGGAGAAACCAACATGACAAGTGAGGACACAGGACTTGACATATGACCTGCACTCGTCTTGTAGCAAAGGCATCTCCAGCCATCAGGTCAGATTCATGCAGCTATGTCAATTTAGTCTGTGGTCCAACCATTCTGCAAAGGGGGACTGGTTGAAAGATACTAAAGGTGGCCCAGAGCAGGTTTTATTGTTAATTAATGAAGGCCTCAATAAAATAAGAGGATTTTAGAATGAAAAAAAGGTTTAAAAGGTTATCGGGTTCAAACACATTGTTTCCTCCGTAGGGGAAACTAAAGTGAAGAGGGGAGAAACCATTTCTCTAAGGCCACTACTCAGTTGATGGCACAGCCAGCACTGAAACCCAGACCTCTTAGTGCACAGCTATTTCTATTACATTCCACTGCCCGATCACATTAGTTCTGTGAGATTCTCGAGGAAAATGAATCTAAGCAATAAACCCCAGGTCTAGACCACTTCAGTAGCTGGAAAACCCATAAACATTTTTACAGTAACATTAGAATGAGCCACATCTTATTAGCTAGCAAAAATTAATATGAACATGTAACCATTACCCTCTGTGCACTTAGCATTCTTTACATTTCTCAAATGCACATAAGAAATATAAACAAAACTTCTTTTCTCAGAAATAATGTTTCTGTGTCACTAAATCTCTTTGCTAAATTAAAAATGCCAGTACAGGCATTTAGGGAACACTTTCCATTTATTCATTTCTGGCAACATTTTTTTTTTTTTGCAGAAATGGATACTGACACAAAATTTCATAGTATAATGCTCTATCAGTGGTATATTCATAAACCAGCACTCCAAAAAATAAAAATAAATAAAAAATATGTTAAATGCCTGATTTGTAAGGCTCCCTTATTCCTGTGATACAAGTACTTCCACCATGGCCAACTTCAAGATACTGAGTCTGAAACAAGTCACTCACAGATTTCCAGAACATTGAACAGGTGGCTCTAGTGCAGTAATCATGGGCAGCCCTCGCACACCACTGATACTACAGGGTAACCTACTCTTCTAAGAGGAAATTAAGGCTCAAAGAGGATCCATGATCTGCCTCAAGATCATAGAGAGGCTGTGTAGGTTGTAATGCAGAGAAGTCCAACTCGATGACCGGCATATATTAAGTGAAACTTGATGCATTAGAAATAGTCAGTGGTCTTCATATTATTACAGAGAGAAGTATATCCCCCCTCAGAAAACAGCAATATCAACAACACCAAGGAACCCATGAGAAATGCATATGCCTGGGCCCCAAACCTAGTGAATCATAATTTCTTGGGCCCCAGAAATCTATGGTTCAACGAATGCTCTGACTTGTACGGGAAACAATCTTTCTGTATTATCCAATAATTCTTCTTTTTATGAATGAGACACACATACAAAACATTTAATAGCTACCCTTCTTTTTCACATCAGATTCCATTGAGGAGATACTTCATCTGACGCTGCAATCTTTCACATTTTCAAAGCTCTTACTTTTCAAAATGCCTTAGATCTTTCTAACAGCAAGAACAAAAGAAAAGTGAGTGATTTACCCTCCAATTCTCAACCTCAACATTTTATAGACCAAAACCTAACATATTCATATGTCTTAGCCCTGGCACATTTCATTTCCTTTTCAAAACTGCTTCTAAGTAAATTTTTTTCCCAAAGTGCCCCCTCCCTAATCCACATACTGCCTAGTCAATTGGTTATATAGTAACATTATTTGTGTTTTGGTTTATCTGCCACTTCCTGTTGTTTTGCTATTTGTTCTCAATCTCAAAAAAACAAAAACAAAACCAAAAAAACAAAAAAGCAGAACAAAGGCAAATAAATACTGCCTGCTTTGTTTTCCTCTTCCAATATTTTAGAGGTTGGAAAATTTACAAAATAAATATCCTCTCAACCTTCTTGTAAAAGGATTGCAAAAGAGAAAAAGAACAATTGAGTAATACTTTCCCCTAATTTAAAAATGCCCAGCTAAGGCACAATCAAATCACAAAACAGGGGGCTGATAGGGCTTTGAAAATCACCAGACAATAGTCTACATGTTCTGATCTATGATTCTTAATTCATTAGCCATCATCAATGTGATTTGGAAGGTAAATTTAAATAGTTTGGTTTATTGTCAGAGAAATAAGAGAGTTGATAATATGTGTTGGTAGATAATGGAATAACAAAAATATTTTGGAAGGGCGTTTAATCATTACCACATTTCCTAGAAAATACGAAGCTACTTGGCGAGTGTAGTTCTTGGCCTTGGTGGAAAGTAGATTCACTGGACTTGGAAATAGAAGTCTTTAATGAAACTAGAGCATTTGCCTTACAATTCTCCAATTACCTGATTCCCATTGGATTGAGATTTACAAGCACTGGCCAGGAAGTTTGCAAAACAGGAGATAACCATGCTGAAATCTATCACTTCTTCAATGTTTTTGAGATTTCCCCACTAATACTTCTGAGAGTGCGGGGGGGAGGGGGGGATAGGGGGTAAGCTTTTTTTTTTTTTTTTTTTTTTCATGAGATTCATCATGGACTCCACCAACCACAAGGTTTCAGGGCCCAACTCAATGCTTGCCCATTATCTTCCTAGTCAATACATGCACACCCGGCCAGCACTCCCATGTATATCTGCTCAAGAATCCCCACTTCAGACCATAAACAAATTCATTCCCTAAAGTAAGCTGGACTTAGATCTCAAATTTAAATCCCTTCAGACAACAGCATCTTCCTCACTGAGACACCAGTGAATGGGAGGATGGGGTACAAGAGCCAAGGCTGGCGTGGTCTGAGCCCACGTGGGCGAGCACGTGGGTTAGAAACGGCGCAGAGCGGAAGGGCACTTACGGTTGGCACAGCTTGATTAGGTCCTGGTCAGTGGTGCCTGGTGGGAGGCCTCGAATGTACAGGTTGGTTTTACTCAACTGTTCCCCGCTGCTGTTGCTGCTGCTGTTGTTGCTGCTGCTGTTTGTGCTGGGGCTGGGAGGAGCCATGGGGTGGGGAGCTGGTGCATAGGACTGCTGGAAACAGAAAAGGCTGTTACTGGAAAAACAAAGCCAGCACCTATTCCCAGGCCAGCAGAGCACCTCGAAAGCAATGCAAGCATCTCGGCCTCTCTGATCCACACATGCACACACATACTTATATACATCACGACTGTGGACTTCTGAGAACAAAAGATGCCCTCTCCCCTCTCTGGCCCTGCATTTGGATCAGCGTGAGCAAAGTTCCCAGGGGCTTCTGACAACAGCCTATGGCTTCGGAGTCTGTCCACTGTGACTTTCCTTAGAGACCTCTAAGGTAGCATGTTATCTCCTTCTCTGACAAAAGAACACAACTCGCTCTTGACACCAAAGCTCTGCCCAGCGCCTGTTCAACAGCCAGGCATCTTTGGCTTGCCTCTAACTCTCTGTTCCTTCCTTTTCTCCAAGGCAACGCCCGTAGATTGTTTCCTCCGCATTCCTCTCCAGCACAATTCCTGATACAAAGAAATCACTCTGTGGATGGTGATTCTATGAGTAAGCAAGCAAATGAATGAATCTCTCTGATCTCTTCTCCCCTCCCAAACCTGCTTCTTCATGGGGAAAAAGACTTTGTTAGCAAGACTCAGCCACCATCCTCTCCCTTCAGTCAAGGTCCCCTTTATTTCACTCTAACCCAGGGTCTCAACCTAAGCACTATTGACAAAGTGGACAGGACACTTCTTTTTTTGGAGGGCTGTCCTGTTCACTAGAGGGTGGTAGAAGCATCCTTGGCCTCTATGCACCAGATTATAGCAGCACCCATCCTCCAGTTATGGCGACCAAAAATGTCTTCACACACTCATGAATGTCCCCTGGGGGTAAAATCTCCCCCAGTAGATGACTCCTTTAACCTGTCAGACTCTTTCTGAGAAAATGGAAATGATAAAATGACCTCCAGCAACTTAGGATATACCAAGTGAGGGTCTTTTTTAATTATACATGCCAAAATAAGTAGACATATTACTCATTACTTTATTGCTTTTTCATACAGGCATACCATCAGAAATTCTAAAGTTGCACTGGCTGCCTGGGTTGAAGTCCCTGCTGCATCTCTTCCGGACTCTGTGACCTTTGCATTGTGCCTTAACCTCCCTGAATCTCAACATTCTCATTCATGTGAGGATAGAAATAGTACTCCCCAGTGTCATGGGGTTTTTACCAAAACTCAGTGAGCTAATGCAACCAAAATGGCTCCTGGAAATTAGTAAGTATACAATGAATGTTAACAATAAAAAAATGTATAATGGTAATATTTGTCATTCATCTCTGTATTGCCAGTGATCTTAGTCTATGTAACTATCGCAGATATCCTCAACCATAACTCAGAATGCCACCTACAGGCACAATAAACACATTCATCAGATTCCAGTAGGGACATTTCTGGCTGAGTTTTAACCTGAAGACACATTAGCTATTTTATCAGGGGTGGGAGGTATGTACTTATCAAATAGCAAGTAGGTGCTTAATAAATACTTAGGCTACATGGTGTACAATAAAAATGGAATAAACACAGCCTTTAATTCCTACAAGAGGGCACATTTTAGCAGTATCCAGCCTTGTTTCCTGCTGTTACAATCTGTTTAACACACATTTCCAGGATTTCCTATTTGCCCCAGTGCATATTTCCAATGACTATAAGACATGCCTCTTCGAGGCAGTTTGTCAAAATGCAACTCCTAATATCTACTCTCATCTCCCATCTTTCCACACCAGCCACCCATCACAATTACCCCATTTTTTCCATGTCGCCGTCATTCTTCCAGCCTCCATGCTAGAGCTTTGATTTTAACTTCATCCATTCCCTAATCCTAAATCTCAAAATACCGTCAGCAACCAAAGTCTCTGTGAGGTTTCTAGAATCATCCTTTCCTCTGAATTCCTACTTTTTCCGTAGGCCAGCCAGGGTCTGAACCATCTCCTATGTAAAGGACTTCAAGCTCCCTTACCTCAGGCTTTCCTGTTACTAACTGGGGGTTTGGGTCTGGGAAGAATAAGACAGGATAATCCAACGTCAAATGCAAGCACAAAGTGGTCAAGGGAGTATTAGGCAGTTTGTTTAAGAAATGGGGAGGTGACAGGGCTGGAATGACAGGAGCAAACCCCAGAGGCCCCAACTCTCTTCTTTGAAATAAACATTTTTCTCAACCATTTCTTTAGTGTGAGTTTGTGAACAACACTTTTAACGTCAAATTTTAAAATGAATTACACCGGAGAATATTTTCTGTCCCCAGTAGTTGAATAAAATGGCATATATTGATTGCCTTTTGGAATCTAATATCTGCATAAAGATTCTTGGTTTGCATGAAAAACTATTCCTTCTTGAGCTAAGAATTGTGTTTCGCTTCTCCGACATCCATAATACTTAACTCTACCTCTTTACAAGCCCTGCACTTAGTAGGTGTTCAGTACATCCTGGCTGAAGTAGCATCCTGGTCTCTGTGTACTGCAACAGGGCAGATGGAATTTATCTTTTACTTCCCATGTGCTTTCTCCTCTTAAATTTCCCAGGGTTTGGTTTTTTTGCCACTTTCCCCTCCCCTCCCTCTAAATTCTTTGAATTCCATTCTGTACTCAGGCTTCTTTTAAAATGAGGCTTTGTTTAAAAGCAGTTGTTCCAACTGCCCAGCCTTTTAAACCACCAGAGCCTGAAAAATGTCTCCAGCTCTATGTATCTCAGATCAGATGGACCAGTTCAGACTGAGCCCTTGATTGATAGAAGAAAGCACCAAGTATAGGGTGATCAATATGTGTTGACTTAATTCTTTTGTTTTCCCTCAGGGATCTTTGTGAGCATTTTACACAACTGGGGCACCATTTAGTAAATTGCATGGTGCCTAAAACAATAACTGTGCCCTGCAAAGGGCCCAATGTATTCACTGGGGCGGGGGGGGGGGGGGATTAAACAAACAGTCCAAAGCAAATCAAATCTGGAATGAGTAGTGGGAACTTGTGTGCATGGAAACAAGGTACGTAATTGATAAATAGGAGTGGAAGCACCAGATTGTTGTGGGAAAAGGGTGTATTTCAAAAGCCCTTTGAAGATACTATACAAAGGTGTTTTTCTCTGTCATCATCTTGTTTGTGAGTTCTAGAAATTCTGCTGAAAGGGGTAGACTTTCTCAGTGTAACAGCCAATTGATCCATAGATTTTAAGACCCAGGGCTGACACTCCTGCTAATTCTTAATATTTCATTCATGTGTTGACGATGCACTGAATGATTCAGGTAGCGGCCTGCATTATAAATCACTCTCTGGTTTTGAGAATTATAAATTCCTTCCTCTCCATCCATTTTCAAAATACACATCTTTTAATCAACAAAACGTTGGCTGAAGGTTCCGGGAATGTTTGACAAATGCACAGGCTGAAATGAATTAATTTGTGAAAAGCAAAAGAGGTTATGAATGCTCCGGCTGCCAAAGACAAACGACTAACCTAAAGCATCTTAAAAAAAAAAAAGGGAGCATCAATAATCTTTAGGGGTTAATGGGTCACAGCAGCTACTTTCCTGATTAAAAGTGGTTAAATGTGACTGATTCTCAATGTTTCATCTTTAAATGAACTTGGAATTTTATCATTGATTAGCTTTTTAAAGCCCTGAGGAAGAAATTTTAACATGGTAGTAAAAAATATTTTCCTGCAGATGAAACTGACTTTGTGATATTGCCCAAAGTCACACTTTGTAAATCCTATTGAAGGGTGGTGAGCACTTAAGGTCTGGGGTTGCTGAACACTGTAACACTGAGCTGCTACAAGGCAAGGGCTTGCTATGAATTTGCAGTGTCCATTGGTTAAAGCTAGTAGAAATGGCAGATTTTCAAAAAAAGGGCTTGGGATGGCACTGGGATTGAAGGGGGAGATAGAAGACTTCTCGGGAAGCAGAAGCCGCGTATGCTTGGCAAGCGTGCATGCTTTTCTCAGATGTTTATTCATGGTGGCATTGCTGGGAGGGGGCTGTTAGGGATTACGGGGTGGGGGCTGGAGCCTTCTTAGTCACATGTTGGGGCTGCTAAATCAGCGGATTAGTACCTGTGTCATCCTTAGCAAATTAAGTAAAATGACTTGGCATCCATTTTTGAAGATGTTATTCTTAAGATAAAGACTCTAATAATCATGGGTAACATTTAATGTGTGCTTGCTATGCATTTTTTATTGATTCTAGAGAGATAGGAAGGGAAAGAAAGAGAGAGAGAGAAACATGGATTTGTTGCTCCACCTATGTACGCATACATTGGTTGATTCATATATGTGCCCTGATCGGGGATTGAACCCACCACCTTGGCCTCCAGGGATGACGCTCTGACCAACTGAGCTACCCGGCAGGGTCTTGCTAATCATTTTATATGCTGTCTTTATAACAGCCTAATGAGGCAAATAATATTAAGCTCATTTCATAAATGAGAAAACAGAGGCACAGACAGGGCAAATGATTTTTGCAAAGTCACAAGGCTGCAGCCCCAATCTGAACTGAGGGAGTCTGACTCCAGAAGCCATGCAGTCCCCACAAACATCAGGAACTTCACCTCTTAAAGACAGAGGCGCCAACAAACACAGCTGGCTTCCTTGCAGTGAACCCTGGACACGCTCTGGTGAGCCAAGTATAAGGAGGGGAGGGGGGGGCAAGAATGATGATGCTAAACAGCATGCAGTCAAAATGAAGGTTAAC